CTCTTTCACTTTTTAAGTTCTATGTTGCTTTTGAAACAACTCCAAATCTCTAATGAAGCTAAATAAATAGCAAAATGTTAAATTTATAAAGATTTACCTTCTTGATTTGTTATTTAATTATCTGTAATATGTAATGTGTTTGTATTTATGTTCTTTCAATCTTTGTTTATTTTAAACTTATAAAATAAATTGTCAGTTTGCATTCTTTGACACAGATAATCAGGTTTCCCTTGGTCGAGTGTATGATTTATAAAATTACTGGCTTCTCTAACGTTTTTTTTGTAAAAGACTCTATTTCCTCATGAAGTGAGACCTTAATGATGCTATGTGAAAATGGAATACAGTGTAGAGACGGATTAATTGAAGTTATAGTACAAAGTGAACAAATAACATGAGACAACAAAATTAAAATTCCCTTCATTGATAACTTTGCACTGACAAAATTTTACAGTTGTATCAAAATATTAAGATATTTGCCAGACTCATCAGGTTGTACAAGCACTATCTGCTATATTATATTATAAGAATAATATATTATAAAATGATTTTTTTTTTTTTTTTTTGTAGAGCTAGCTTTAAAATAAAAATAAACATTTTTAACACTAAAAGTAATATTACTGTTTGGTTAACCCAGGCAAGTTCAGTGATTTGATAACATGATTAGTTATTACTTGAATTTTATGTAATCTTTTATGTCATATTTTTCTTATTTTCAAGAGTACACTTTAATATAGCATTTCTGTAATTGTTTTTGCTTTATAGCTAAGTGGTTAATATTTCTTACTGAAGGGTTTGATATCATTTGCTATCTTCCTAACACATTGAGATTCACATTTTTCATCTTTGTAACACTGGGAATTGAGTCTTGAAACACCTCAAATTGTTCCAGCTGGCAAGTTACCATACAGGAGACTTTTTTTTTTCTTTGCCTTGACAATTCGGATATATTTTTTTATTTTTTTTTTTAAAGCTTTGAGAGCCTTGCTAGTTGTGTTAACTTGTACTAATTCTTTCATTAGTATCTTGTTCTCCTTCATCCAAATTTGAATCAATACTTGGATAATCATAGCAAATTTTATGTGTGATACTAAACCGTCTTCTAATTATGGTACTTTATTTGCTACTGGTGTGTGAATAACAGATTAGTTAAATGGTATTTTATTTACTATTTTGTCATTTACTTCTATAGTTTTTCTTAAACTTGGTTTCATTCCTGAGACTTGGCAGTTTTATTTGGGTTCATTACAGTCTCTCTAATATTATCTTTATTATATTTTGGTAAATAAATAAATGGCTTTCTGAAATACACTGTCATGTAAAAAAAAAAAAAAAATTATTGTTATTCTGATGGAGTGGGGAGGAAACTTTATTACAATACATATTTTATGAGAGCTGACAAAAAAACAACTGATGCTATAATCTTGTTTAATTTAGTTAAGATACTGTATTAAGAAATTCCAATTAAATCTTCAGTACATGCTATAATTTATATATTTCTTTGAAAATGATGCTTGAATTATTTTTAAAATAACTTATTTTTACAGTATTAACTAATTTGAAGCTTACTTTTTCTTTTTTTTTTTTTGGTAATCAGGAACAGATCGGTATTTCTGAAAATTATGAAACACCATGTTTGAATAAGGAAAAATAGCTTAATTCCTAAAGACATGAAGAATATTTACTTCAATGTTTATAGGTATTGTTATCAACTTTATTATTTATACATGAAGCTATAGTACAAAGTGAACATAAATAACATGAGCACATGCTGAAAAGTTGTTAGCCAGGCTCACTTCTCAAAATCTGAACAAAAACTTTTTTTTTTTTTTTTTTTTTTCTTGGAAAACTTTTCAACACCCCTCCTATGTCTACCTACACACACACACACACACACATATATATATATATATATGTGTGTGTGTTTGCACATACACATATATACACAGACCTTTTTATTAATTTCAATAAATTCATACAGGATTATTTTTAGAAAATAGAGTAATAAGCCTTATTTTCAATAACTTGATTAATTTTATTTCATTGTTCTCTATTCTGAAATTCTATATAGAAACATTGAAATTATCAAGTTTCTGTGAAATTTTATTTATTAATTCTTCATTTTCCTCATCTATTATGTAAATGTATATTTTTTTAAACAAGTGCAACAAGTATTTCCATAGTTCATAAGCAAACAACAGAAAACACTGATAAATTAATGAAAAACAGTTCAAAGTTTAAATTGAGTATTTTAAATAGTATACTTTATAATAATTTTATTTTTAAATGATACTCTCAAGTACATGACATTTTATACATGCTAATACATTTTAAAATTCAAGTGGATTTTATTTTCTTTTTTTAAAGGACTTTAAAAATTTTGCTCTGATATTTTTACTATTAAATATTTTGCCATGTATTTTTTTTTTTTTTTAATTTTTTTTTTTTTTTTTGCACAAATATTTTTCCCACATTTTTTTTCCTCTTCATATTAATGCACTTTGTAAATTCACTACAAAACCTCACTAAAAAATATATTCATGCCAACAAATATTGTCCCTTTTAGAAGTTAAGTAAACATTTTTCAATATTGTTAATTATTTTGAAATTTTTATGTATTTTTAAATTTTTTTCCTTTATATCCAAACATTTGTCTCTTAATTCAGTGTTCCATCACAATACCATGCACTTGTTTTTATATATATATATATATATATATATATATATAAAAAAAATACAAATTTTCTCTTAATGATTTTGAAAAAAATGAAAAAAAATTTCTTTCATTTAAAATGTTTTTCCTTTTTTTGAATAACTTTGATATACCTTTCTTCATAATTTATACTTCTCTACGCAACTGTGTCTACAAATTTTGGACTGGCTTTGCATGCTTCTTTTTCTTCTTTTTTTTTCCTCTCTCTCACACCGCACACGTTTTTCCCAGCCTGCTTTGTAGTAGTATAGCTAATATTTTAGTTATAGTTAGTAGTTGTAGTAGTAGTTGTAGTCCTATTCTAGTGATTGTTTGTTTTTTGTTCAATCATTCATTCATATATATATATATATATATATATATATATATTAAACAATTTTTTTTTTAATCTTTTGCTATTTAAATTTTTTTCTTTAATGGGCATGTATGAAAGAAAATTAACCCTTGCTGTGTTCAACTATTGTTTTTTTTTTTTTTTTTTTTATCTTTATTTTTTAAATTTTAAGGTGAAAGGTAGTAGCAATAATTGTTACTAACAATCTTCCCAATTTTTAAAAGCTTATGTTTACTTATCAAATGAAAGATATTTATTCCACTCCTTAATTCTACAATGCCCAGTATATTTGCTTTATCATTAACATTAAGAAAATCATTTACTTATATATATGCACACACACTAATTGGGCATTAATTTATGGTACAAATAGATATGTTATTGCACAATTTAATGCTGTGGTTATTAATAGGTTAGTATTTTACCTAATTATCACCTGTTTTTTTTGTTTTGTTTTTGTTTTTTTAATTTTTGGTTTGTTCTTTTTCCTTTTAGATTCTACTTTCTGTACATCCCTTATATTCTTGAACTTCATCTATAATTCACCCCTCCTCTCCCTTCTGCAAGAAAGTGGGGAAATTACCAAAAGAAATTTTAAAGTTATTTTTGTTTACACAGCACTTTTAAGGGTTGGTTCATGTATAAGTATAATTAAATTTTTTTTTTCTTTGCTCTCCCTTATTTTATTTTAATAAAAAGAAATTTTAGTATTTTTAATTCCGGAAAAGGGATATTGGCCATTTATCCAACCACAGAACAGAAGCACTTCCTCATACACATCTCCCCTATGCCCAACTCCCTTCCCTTTATCCTTCAATGTAGTTGCTTATTTTTTTCGAAATATTTACAGACTTATTAGTCTCACCTGTAGTAGTGATCTCACATTGTAGAATGTAGCTCACTCTAGTGTGCCGTGTGCAAGGAAAAAAAAGAAAAAAAAAAAGAAGGCTCAAACCAGGGAAGCCAAAATTTGTAGGCAAATATTAAAAAATTTTTTCCCCATATTTTTCTTTTTTCTTTTGGTCCATTAAAAAAAAAAAATTCTTAAAAAAATTATTTACAAGATCTTTTCATAAGAGATGCCCAACTTTTTAAAGTTACATATATAACTTTAGAAAGTTTTTCAATTTTTACTTTTCTTTTTCTTTTTTTTTTTCTGTTCATAGAAAGAATTTTTATTTAACTTTTAATTTAATTCAATTCTCCCTTATCCCAAGAGAAAAGATTTTGCATTATATTCTTTCAAATAAAGTTTTATTTAAATCTTTGAAATTTTCTTATAGATTTTTTTTTTTTTTTTTTTTAAGAAAAATAATTTTTGGTTTATTTAGAAGTAAATGAGCACTTCAGTAAATTTTAAATTAAGTAACTTTTAGCATTAATAAAGACTGAATGTGCTTCACATCTCTGACATTTCTAGAATTTGTTGATGTAGATAGTCAATTTTGGTTTATCTTTTCTTTTGACCTCATCTACCTTTATAATTTTTGCTGCTAGAAATTTTATATGAATGTGTTCAGCTATTTTTTAGCATTTGTAGGATTTTTTTTAACGGCATCTCATTCTCCATTAAAATCACCAAAGAATTTATAAGATTAAGCTTTTAAAGCTTTTTGACTTTTTTTTTTTTATTTTTTTATTTTCATAATGAAATAAAAATGTCTATGTATCTTATTTCTGAAAGAAAATTTTTTTTAATTTTAGAGAATGACTACTTAATTTTTTTGTTTTTTTTTTTGTTTTTTTTTTGTTTTTTTTAAAGGAAAAAAAATATTGAATTTGAAACTTTTTTTAATTTAATTTTACTCTATGAAAATTTAACTTTTGAAAGACCAAAGAAATTTTTTTTTAAATGAATGAAAATGTTAAAAAAAAATCTATTAAAACTTACATATTTATATCTTCTATATAAATTCACTGAAAGAACCCTTTTTTCCCTACTTACTGTATTACTAGGCTTCCCTAGTTTTGGGTACATGCCTGCCCCTGCCCCGCCGAGTGAGCGACCACCCCATGCTTCCCCTGCTTTCTACGCTGCTACGGAGATTTTCGGTGCAGCACCAGGCAGTCATGTGACCAGTCATGTGACTGCTGGCGTACAAAGAACTGAACCATCACAACTGCCCGTTAGTAGTTCACCTCTGCACCGGGATTTCACCCAACGCACTACAGGTATAATATTGTTACGCTTTTATCACTATTAGTACTATTATTCCTACTACTACAGCGATTTACAATTTTGCTTTTAGTTTTTGCTTTTACTGTCTAGTTTTTTTTTTTTTTCTCATTTGCAAAATTCTCTCACTTGAGATTTTTTCCCACATAATCCAAAATTCTAGAAAAAAATTATTTAATTTTAGTTGGGACAGAAAATTTAATCACTTATGTTTATTTTCTGTGCTCTTGCTAATTCACTTTTAACCGATTTGTTTTGCTTTTGAGAGTTTCATCTGTTCAAATTTTCATTTGTTCAAATTTTCATTTGTTTTAGAAAGAACAAAACTATCATCCCCCCAAAAATAGTACATGGCCTTATTTCAACTTGAATTAAGTCTTAAAAAAAATATCTGTCCATTGTCCACCTTTTTAAGAAAAAGTTGACTAAAGAATAGTATTGATTCTAAGAAAATCATTAAATGCTAATTCATGATTTGACGTGTTTAATCTAATGTTTCAGTCAGAAAATATTAAAGTGAATCATGCTATACCTGCCCTCCTTCCTATGTTTATCTACAGACTATTGTTTTTTAATTGCAAAAATTCCCTCTAGAAAAATAAATTATTTTCATTTTATTGAAGATAAAATCTTATTCTTGATTTTTATAACATCTACAAACTCTATTATTTGCATATTCTGCACTGAAACATCAAGCTGAATGTGAAAAGTACAAAAAAATAACAGCATCTTTATTGTATTATCCTATAATATTTTATCTTAGTTTATCATATTTCCATAGTCTTTACAACTAAACAAATGAGATAAATAACTTTTTTATCAAGGTTTTAGAAAACAGATGCTTCATAGTGATTTTTAAAATATGAAATTATGTGTACATTAGTATATGCCAGAAAAAGTAGTACAAGAAGTTGCCTATTTAAAGTTTCAGTCCTAGATTGAAATAGAAATTTTTAATGGTTTGTAGAAATATTTCCAGAGTTTGGGTTTTGAATAAATTTTCTAATATTTTGTAATAGGATAAAATATTTAAAATTAAAAAACCATAACTTAATTTTCACCTGGGAAATAAATCTGCAAATCAATATTTTTATAACTGATTACTGTTACTGGTGACTTACATATTGAATGTTTTGACAGTTTACTTACTTATATATATATATATATATATATATATATATATATATATATAAAATACCAAATTGTAATTGGTAGGGATTATTCCAAAGAAGACTTTTAGTCCATATGAGATCAAATTATAATAATAATATTTATTAGGAAAAAACCTTAAAAATCCATTGTCAGTAATAACTTTATTTTGATGAATATATGCATATATTCATCGAAATAAATTTATTACCGACAATGGATTTTTAAGGTTTTTCCTAATAATTACATATTAAGTTTTTACAGTTATTGCAATTTAAACAAAATTTTTTACAAGCCAAAGCTAGGAATCATTACTTTATTTTAGTTAAGCAATACTTTCAAATTTTTATAATTAATGATGAAACTCTATTCATTACTGCATGAATTTATTTTTCTATGTGTGCATGCAATGAACAGTTACAGATAAGCCACAGCAACCATTGTTATTCCACAGCTCTATAACAAAGCATTAGTGACTGGGATATTTACCTATCAATGCAACTGGTTACTTTTTGAGTTCAGATAAAAGAATACCAGAAATTAATGGCAAGTTCTCTCTCTATTTGGAACTGAGAAGTAAATTTTCAATTCTCAACACAAAAAGGAATTGATTCATGACCCACATCAATGCAATATGTCTTAAAATTCTTTAACTGGTACATATGAATATAATATTTATTTTCAGTTGTTTTTCCCTCCCTGTTTCAGGAAGGCAGGAATTTTAAAATGAAGTTGAGGCACAGAACTATGCTTTTCAGTACAAAGGCAGTGTTTTTAGATAATTATCAATTCTGGAGGTGTTAAATTTAACCAAATTATATATATATATATATATATATAAATTTGTAAAGGATGGATTGTGTATACATTTAATTTTCCTATCTTATTGAATTTTTCACTAACAAAACCACTGAGAAATCTTCAAAGATGGAATTTCTATATTTTTTGCAAAAATTTATGGTATCTTCAATCTGTTTATATGACAATTTCTTGTAAATACAAATAAGTTTTTAAATACTTAACTGTATTTCCTGGCATCAAAGATGTTTTAAGTTTACTCTTCATCCTTTAGATCAAAGGTTTTTTATTATTATTATTATTTAAGTGAATTTGATGTTTTGTTGTTTTTTTTTTAATTTATGATCCATCTTTGAAGCTGGGAAATATAGTATTGTGCCATTCAATTTATTACCACGGTTATAAAACATATTAGCATTATCAATGATTTGTAAAAACTGTCTTTATATTAATATTAACTTTATATGCTTACAGTTGGGAATAATTAAAATGTTGCTTCTGGCTGTTATTTCTTTACAACTTTTAACCTTGCATGAATTGCCTGCTCAATTTGTTATAGATTTTCTTGTCCAAAGCCAGTCCATATTCATGACACAAGATTTCTTTTTCAGAAGACTGTATCTCTAAATGTTTGTTTTTGTTTCTTTCTTATAATATTTATAACAATGAATTTTCTTTTCTATTTTACATACACAATGGTGCAAGATCACAGCTTGATTATTTTCTCTAACAAATATTGTTGCTTGTATTATTTTTGAACACTCAAATGTTCTCAGGATGTGATGAAATAATGTAGAGTTGTTAGTGCAAAAAGATAATGGCACTAAATATGACCATATCAAACTTAACAATGTAATGGTAAATAGTGATGTGTACATATTTAATGATTCAGCCTTTGTCAACCAGCCTTGTTCAGGTGTCTGTCGTTGAAAGTAACCATCAGGGAATATCAAACTGAACCCTATATTTAACTTGTGGGGATAGATGGCCCATGTTTTGTCATCCATATCTAGGGCTATCTGATCTTGTTCTTTTTTGTAGTACTACACAGTTTCTGCCTCACAATTACTATGCCACCAAATTCATGAACCAGCACTTTAAATTCACCAGGCTGAAGATTACCTAAATCAACAGCCACCTGAAGAAGGCTGTAGAGTTGCCAAAACACTGATAAACAACAAAGATGTGATCATTAGGCCAAGTGTAAATAACAATAACTCCTCATCCCAGAATTTCAAACAAATTATTATATAGTAAGTAGGATTAAGGCAGAAAATGAAGAAGAGACTGGTAAGACAATCATTTTATTCTAACTTGTACATTTGCACAAAGTTTGTCACTAGTGTGCATCAGAAAATGAAAGTTCAGTTGTATAAGTTTGTATAAAGAGCATATCAGAATAATGGTTCTCTATATTTTGTTTATTCTCTTGGTCATTTATACATATCTTGCCGTTATCACTTTAATCTATTTCTATATCATAACCTTAGTGCTAGTGTATATTGTAGTATAACAAATCAAACTGATGTTTGGGATATCTGATTTTATTTTAAGTGTTAGGTTTGGTGACTTTTTTTTTATCCTATAATGGAATTAAGCAACCAGGACTACTGTTTTACAAAAGAACAGATTGCCTTGAAAATTAAAAATCTTGGTTTTTACTTGGAACATAATACTAACTTTTAGTAGTATTGAGAAATATGCGGCTACTTTATTCACAAGGCAAAACCATTTTACTTTCTGCATTACCTGACATTAACATTACCAACAGAATTATTCTTAATGCAGAACTTTTTATAATCAGAGGTTGTCTTCATGAGAAGCCACAAGGCAGAAGAAACATAAAACCTAAATTACTTTAAATTATCTTTTAAGCAACAAAATATATTTAACTAAGATTATTAAGACTAATGATAACTAAATTTAGCTGCTGCTGTTCTAATACTAAATTTGGTCATGTACAATAAACTTCAGAGGCTTGAGAGTCAATATTAATGAACAAATGTTTCATGTTTTTATTACATTACATATTTTGTTATAGAAATTTTAATAAAATTTCAAAATCTTAATTAATATACAGATTTTCATTCCATAAAAAGTCAGAAAAAATATCTGCCTTGAACTTGATGTCAATTGGTATTTCTCATCTGTGTTAGTTTTTCTATCTATCCAGAATTTCAAATACTACTTTATTTTTTCTCTGTAAGGTAAATAGGCTCTTTCCACTTGGAAGATTGGTGCAACAAAAACTTTGCCTATTCTTCTAATTTGGTTATGCCAAGCTAACCTTGGTCAATATAGATATTTGTCTTGGTAAATATCTAGCCCAGTCATAGAGAAAGACAATCTAATAAAATGGGATATTTTAATCGTATACGATCTTACAAAATTACCATAATATTTTTATGACAGACAACCACTGTCACAAGTTTCAGGCCTAAACAAATATATATTTCTGCAAGGTGTATATTAAATGTCAGAGCCACATGTGATTCTCCAGCCAAGATATAACAAAGAATAGCTAGTCTTTTCCTCGGCATAAATGAGAGATACGTGCACGCACACACACACACACACACACACACACAGTATACTAAACAATACTAACAACTGATATTTAATAAGTTTAATGGAGTGATTGGGGTAGATAGGAAGAATGTTATTTACACTCAGACTAATGTGCTCATCCTTGTTGTTATACCACAACATATCAAATGTGCTCTCTGGCCTTCTTCAGGTATCTGTTTATCCAGGTAACTTTCAGGGAATTGCAAACTGAACCCATTATTTAATCTATGAAGGTAGATTGTTCTCATTCCACCCATCTCTAGAGAGACTTTGTCTTATTTTTTTTTTTTTTAGTACTGTTTAGTTATACCACATATCCTATTTCCACTGAGTCTGTACTATCTGGCACAGGAATTGAACTTACAGTTACTATGCCACTAAATTCACAAGGTAATAGCAACAAAGATGAAAACATTAGTTTGAATGTAAATAATGTAAATAACTCCACACTTTGAGAAATTCAGACAAAAATTAGGAACAC